GAGAGAGAGAGAGAGAGAGAGAGAGAGAGAGAGAGAGAGAGAGAGAGAAAGAGCAGCTGTCCGAGAGATCATCTGGGGAATGTATAAGTGCTCGTATATATCCTCTGTACGTATGCAGAGAGATCGCGTCGGATATCGTATCGGAAAATCATTGAAATCCTCAAATCCCAGAATCATTGAGACATATTGGGTGTAACCGAAAGTTTTGCCGATCTGCGAGATTTACGACTTGGAAGTTAATCGTTGACCTCCTCTCGAATTTCTTTTTTTTTTGTGCATTTTGCATATGTCACATCGATATCGCGACAGCTATAATAAATTATATATATGGTTATAAATTTTATATTTTTTTTTTTTTGGGAGTGTAGGATGCAAAAAGGTGAAAAGGGATGAAAAGACATAGGTATTTTTATACGGTTAAATTAGTGTATTTACATATATTTAAAATAGACATGATTTATCTTTTATAATAACGACACAACTCAAAAAAGACAATTTTCCAGAAAATGAATATTTTAATTAAAACAATTTTGTAACATGAATTTTAAAATGCAGTTTTGGTGCAATAATTGTGATTGTAGAGGAATGAAAGTATATATTTTTTAAGTATGTTTTTCCTTTTCTGCTTGTGTTCTCATTTTTTCACAATTTGTTCACAAGCAATTAAAATTACAATTTTTTTGAGTTATGTCGTTGCAGCAAACGAGCGATATAATCTGAAATTCAGCGAAAGTGAGCTTGAAAAGTTTAGTGCAATGATGAAGAATAGATTTCATAATCTATTCTACGTACAGATTGTATTATTTTTTACTAATCGTTCTTCGTCTTGTACAGATGTTTTTTCGTAATAAGATACAAGAAGTATCGATTATTGTACGATACTGTTGGTACCAAAGAATGACGATAAATATCGATCATCTTAGCACATTCCTATGCAAGCGGCAAAGGAGATAACGAAAGAGAGGAAGACAGATAGGGGGAAGAAAGACGAGGAGAGGACCAGCCTGACCGATATGTTCGAATCTGATTGTTCCCTTAACGATCGACTGACAGCGAAGATGTATGTCGGTGCCATCAGATAATGCGTGTAACGTCAGTGTACACGCATACACGCGCAATTCCGCACCACGTGCACACATATATATGGACGAGGGTAGAAATATTCGTAAATGCTTCGATGCAGTCACCATCGTCGTCGTCGTCATCGTCGTCGTTTCGTTGTACGTCGAGGACATCTTCATAATGTCGCGCACAAACCGACTGTCATGTCATATCACGAATGTCGGCGACGACGATGGAACCGGCCGATAAGGTGAAGAAAGACACTCGTAATCGATGCCGTATCTGCCGCACGTGCGATATTGACATCGAGGTCAAACTTGTCAATCGTCGCGTTCCACTTCTTTACATTTGACCTGTTAACTCTTTTCAAACTGGATCGTGCAATTAGTGACAAATTTCTTCGTGTCTCGTCGAGGGAAGAAAGTTTCGCGGTTACCTAATTTTTTGAGAGAAGAAAGTTTCGCGATTATCTAATTTTTGGACCAAAAAACTCGAGCGACGAACACCACTTCTCGTGTTTTTTATTTCATCCAAAAAAGGAAGTTACGTAATAGATATTTACAATGATGACAGATTCAAGCGCGTCGTAATTTATTTCTCGCTTGCGCGCTATGACTTATTTATGCCTATTTATACGATCCTTTTTGCGCTCTTGGACAGAGTATAAGTAGACGAAATTTGTTTACCTTTGACAAAGCGATTTTTCCTGAACGAGAGAGACGGTATAGACGCGCCTATTGGCAAGCCTGCATCTCTCTCCGTGGATGCCTCGAAGAAAATAATAAATCGCTGAATCAAGCGGCTGCGATCGCGCGTCACGAGTAAAATGTATTAACACACCCACCCGGCGAGAGCATCTAATATAGCAATTGTTCTTCTTCATTCGAATTGCGTACGAGGTAATTGAAGGGCGCGCCAAATAAAATACGCGCCCTAAGGAGGTACGATACAGCCGTCAGATCTCGCGTTTGAAAGTCAGAACCGGAGGGGTAAAAGGGGTATAGAACGGGATAGAAGAGGATGGACGAAGTGAATGAGAATAACGTGTGAGAAGGAGCGAGAAAGTCGAAGAGAAGAAGATGACTGGGGAGGAAAAGGGGGAGGTAAATGTGTGAGAGAAAGAGAGAGAGAGAGAGAGAGAGAGAGAGAAACCAGAGGGACGGCGAAAGGGTTAAAAGAAGAGGTGGACAGAAGCGTGAGTGCAGAAGTGGAGAGAGGAAGAGAGGGTAGGAAGGGAAGAAGAAGGTAAGGATGAGAAGAGACCTATCGGACCATGTGGCAGGCGCAAACGGTGTGAGTAATGGCGTCGACCAATCGCTCCCAGCTCTAAAACACGAACGCGCCGGCCGCCTGTCCCCCCCTCTCTACCTCACGTGAACGCGTATAGTAATAACGAGCCGTCTATCATCGTCGGAATCATTATCATCGCCGGATCCGCGGTCCTCGTTCTTCTCCTGCCGCTCGGCCGGCTTCTCGTCTTTCGTCTCTACCCTGTCAGGGGCGGATCTATACCGAGGCCTAATGAGACTTAAGCTTTAGCTTTCAAGCAGTGTTTCAAGAATAGGCTTGCTTTCGCGAAATCTACTTGTCAATGTTTTGAACAATCTAAAACGCAATATACACGGGAATGATTCAAATTCAACATCTGAAGCACCGAGCAGTAATTTCGTTGGAGGTAACAAAAATTTCGGGCGCGCAATTTGTGTACAGGCCAGAGTGTATAAAAATGTAAAATTCAAAACATACGTATAACGGACGTAATTAAACAATATGTCTGTTATTAACGGTTTAAAAACATAATAATGATCTCTTACCTATATATATTCATTTCATTCAATATATATATTGAATGAAAGAAGAAAAAGAGAGACTTTCTTTATTGCTTCTTTGTTTAGTCATGAATCACAAGATTCTTCAAAAATTAGCTTTTTACAGTACAAAGTCGTCCCTATATATGTATATATATATATATACATCGACTTTTCAGCGAGTGATGCAACGGGAAGGAATGGATGTGCAAAGAGCGAGAGGGAGGGAGAGGAGGGGGGGGGGGGAATTTAATGACAAAATTATACCGAAAGTGCAGCCTCGCCGATGTCCATGAAGAAGATATAATGCTTCCCTCTTATCTCGAGCGCGTGTTACGGTGATGAAGACGATCGGTCGAGAATTCGCGCGGCGACCGCGTCGCGAAAAATGTTACGTTAATCGTAAATTGCATCGCACGGTTTCGCGCGTGCGAGAAAAATTGCCTGCGCGTGTTGGCGTGATAACCGGCGATTACGATTCGAGATAGTGA